GATGGTCTCGATCTCCTGACCTCGTGATCCACCCGCCTCGGCCTGCCAAAGTGCTGGGATTACAGGCTTGAGCCACCGCGCCCGGCCGCCAGATGTTGTCAAACGTCTCCTGGTGGCTGAACCAGCCCCACTGAGAAATACCGCCTTAGAACGCTGTGGGTTCAGCATGCCGCCTTCATCTTTACATTGGAAACACAACTCCTGGCACGGTGGCTCAGCCTGGAATCCCAGCACTTTGGGAGGCTGAGGCAAGCAGATCACTTGGGGCCAGGAGTGGGAGACCAGTCTGGCCAACATGATGAGACCCCTGTCTCTACCAAAAATACCAAAAGTATCCAGGAATGGTGGCACACACCTGCAATCCCAGCTGCTAGGGAGACTGAGGCAGGGGAATTGCTTGAACCCAGGAGGCAGAGGTTGCAGTGAGCTGAGATCACCCCACTGCACTCCAGCCTGGGTGACACAGCATGACTCCATCTCAGAAAGAAAAAAAAGAAAGAAAGAAAACACAACTCCTCTCCTCAGTCTTACCCAGGGAGGAAAAAAAATAGAAAACACAACTCCACGGACCAACAATTAGTATTTTTCCTCCTTCCCTAACACACAACATAATCTCTTCAAAACAGATGGAACCCATGTTCCAGTATCTACCTTTGGCATCTTTTTCAAAGTATTTCTAGGGTGACAGTTGGGAGGAAATGGGAAAAAAATTTTTGGACGCAAACTCTTTTTTCCACTGGGCTTTGAGAAAATCCCCATCTTGCGTGCTCCCAGTGTATCTCTCACTGATAAGTTCCTCATAAAACCAGGGCCTCATCCAGGGCCACGCTGACAGAACTCCCACGGACACACCATGATTACGACCCTGCTGCTGTCTGCTTTGGTGGCTGGAGGTAAACCCTGTCGCCCAGAGCCACTGGTTTCCCATCCCCTGGTGTGACTGGGAATGGGATCTTCCTGTCCTCCCCTCTCGGCCCCATCCAACCCCTACTGCATTCAGACGTATAGTCATAAGAAAACTGGAATGGAGTTTCAAAGAACTGGAGCAAAGAGCAGGATTCTATGACCTCTTGAGGTCCTTCTAGAACAAGGGTTTTCTATTTAGGGGTTCAGAACACAGCAAGTGTAGTTTACATTGTGTGGGTCGCTGCTTCTTGGACTCAAGACCCTTTCTCTTTTCATAGCCCTCAGTTGTGGGGTCCCCACTTACCCACCTTCTGTGACTAGGGTGGTTGGAGGTGAAGAAGCGACGCCCAACAGCTGGCCCTGGCAGGTGAGTCGACCACACTGTACTTCCCCACATCCCTGCCCCACTCCCTTTACATCCCCCCTTTGCCCTTCCACCATGGGGTCTACTGTGCTGGCAAAGTGAGCATTGATGGGACTCAGAGAGCAGCACAGGCAACTTCACCAATAAGATACATTTCCGGCTGGGCGCAGTGGCTCATGCCTGTTATCCCAGCACTCTGGGAGGCCGTGGTGGACAGATCACCTGCGGTCAGGAGTTTGAGACCAGCCTGGGCAACATGGTGAAACCCGCCTCTACTAGTAATACACAGTTAGCCAGGCGTGGCAGCACACACTTGTAATCCCAGCAACTCGGGAGGCTGAGGCAGGAGAATCGCTTGAACCCAGGAGGCAGAGGTGGCAGTGAGCTGAAATTATACCATTGCACTGCAGCCTGGGCACCAAGACAAGACTCTGTCTCAAAAAATAAAAAAAAATTTTAAAAGATACATTTCTGTGGCCTTGGCCAACCTTAGGAGAGGAGGGAAAGGTGCCCCCTCCAGCTGCAGTAAGGAGCTGTCCCCTCCCCACTGCCCATAGGCAGCAAATATAGTCTTACTCTATTAACCAATCAGAGGCTTGTTTACAAATGT